CTCCACAGATTTCAGTAAAAGAGTCTGGACATGTCTTGGTGCAATCTGGCTCCAAATTTTAAATCTTCTGTAATCGTCCATGATATGTATGCAGTGTCCATCCTTTAGTGCACTCAATTTCACTTCTGTAATCATTTTGGCTTTTGGGTGAAAAAAAACACACACAATATAATTTAACAGAAGATGTTATTTGATAATTCCAATATATATAAAATAAACAGTATTTTAGGAACTTCAAAAATTGTTTGAATCGACATCTTCTCAACTTCGAAGAGAAAGTGAACAATTATGTTTATGCAACCACATAAGTGCATAAATAAACATCCAGTACTAATAATCATATATTTCCTGATTGAGCAAATGGGTGTTGTATGAGTGTGTGCCTCTAGGTCATCAGAGTTACAGCCTAATAATACACCTGGGAAAAGTCGATGGCTTTTCAAGGGTGTGTTTTTTATTTAATACTGTTTGAACTGCCTGCACTAAATAGTATGACACTAGATGTGTAGCTGTTCATGAATGGTGAACTTTAAATGGATATTGAGCATTTGAAATTATTTTGTGATTCAGCTAGGGAGACTGAAATGACATCTGGAATGGCCAATATCCTGGATGAGATTCAAGAAATGTAATTCAAGTGGATTTTCCTCAGCCGAATGAATATTTCATGGTTTACTTAATAATGCTAGCAATTCTCAGACTGGATAGTATAAAACAGTAGAATGATAAGGGAATAGTAAAGTGAAAAGTATTTGCAAGGAAGCTGTCATGGTCTAATATGAAGTACTACACCAGCATTTGTGTGAAGGGTCTAGGAAAACCACAAAGAATGTCACCCAGAAGAGCTGGTGTCCCAGATGAGATTGCAACCAAACACATCTTGAATTAAAGCCAGAAATATTACCATTTATCCAAATAGCTCAGTCACTCAGTGTGAGATGAAGGAATCTTCTACACACATATATTCACAAAAGCTTAATTTGAATGGCTTGCTGTCTAGGTGTCTGTAACAAATGTGCATTCAACTGTTGATGGAGTTGGGCAAGTCTTGTCACAGAAGGGGCATTTTTAACGCTTCACATGTTGACGTATGTGGTCCTCCAACAATTTCTCAGATGGGTAATACTTCAAGCAGTGTAAACACTGGTACTCTCTCACTGCAACATTTCATACCGTCACATACTGGAGAATGTTGTGCATTGCAAAACACATCAGGCAATTCAGAACTTAACAAACATACATCTGCCCTAAAACACTATCTTAAATTTTAACTTCCATTGACAACTGAGTATATCAAGTAGACCACAAAGAATTCTGACAATGGTGTATAATACTCAGGATTACTGGGATTTTGGACTTGATCCATCATCCAGTATCCTAAGAAACACTAAAGAACACAACATTTCAGAAATTGGATATGTTTGCATCCTCAAATAAAAGGGAGAGACACTTACTCTGTTGAGTCCTTCAGAGAGAGCTACCTCAGTCACTGGACAAACCATATCAGCATAACTTCAGCTACATAGATATAAATCTGAGGCCAAGATTTATCTGTGAGAGATGATAGGAAAGTGTACAATAAAAATTATTATTGTGCATGTACAGACCTGAAACTAACAGAAAAGAAGTGGAAATCAAATGTAGCAAACAGAATAAAAAAAAAATCCATGAACAGCAATGAGTAGGNTGTTTTAGAAGACCCACTTCAAGATTAGAGCTGCACAACTAGCGGTTTGTCTGTTTTGCTAAAGCAGCTTCTGCCGAACCCACAGGGAATGCTACAGATGCAACAGAAGCAACAGCAGATTAGTTTCTTGAACGGTCGTAAGCTTGACCACCGCCAAGTTTAAGGCTTCTGTACTTTATACTCCAGTGCGTACTAGGTACCTCGGGAAGCTCGGGAAAGTGCTTTAACAATCCGTTGGATAACAGAGGCATCTACTGGCATGTAGCGGCAACGAATACGCGCGCAACAACAGACGAATGCCGAAATCGACGTTTCTCTGCGTTTCCTTCCTATTCGCCGCCGCACAAACATGCGATATCAAACCGTTACTAACAACAGACGCCTCTGTGACACTTCTCTGACTCCCAAACACTGCATTTTAGTCTCCATGGCACAGTATATAAAGTATATATATACTCTATATGGTAGGATGTAATCCCGTGTGGATACCCATGTGCAGGCGGCGTGGAATACCTCCACCGTAGACCTGCGAGTAGTAGGAGGCGACGAAAAGGAAGCCCAGTGCCTAGGGTTATAGCTGGGCCACCCTCCTCCTGGAGGTTATAAATACAGGCGTGTCTCGAATTTGGGAGAGTAAAATGTTGTCATGAGCCCTGCGGAACTCGGAACTGAGAATGACTGCGCTGGCGAGGACCAACAGTAATTATAAACGACCCTCTTTGTCAGAGAGGATTTTGCAGAAGGACTATGACCACAAGTGCTCATTTAATAAAAGAAAATTACTAGTCATGAGTCTCGAGGGGCTTGTCGCCAGGACGAACTGATTGGCGGTAAACCGCTTGTAGTAAAGTAACTCTGATTCTGACTCGGAAGCCAGACATAGAAAATGCAAGAGGCTTAAACTTGGCGGTGGTTAAGCTGAAGACCATTCAAGTGCCTAAGCTGCCGTTGTAGCTTAAAATACATAAGTACGTATGTCGTAACGTATATCTGCTTTGCGAACCCTGTACTGACAGACGATTTGTATGTAGTACAAAAGGAAGAATTAAAAAAAATGGTATAAGTGTGATATGTACACTTGGCGAAAGGCCAAGCATAATAATAAGAAGGAAAACACTTCTTCTCATGAGAGAGTGTGTTACATAAGACTATGACCGCAAGGGTCCAGCCGGTAAATGTCTCTGGTCGTGGGTTCCGAGTGGCTTGACGCCAAGCCGAAGAGTCAGTGACGGCAGAGTTGTACGAGTCAAAGATTCATGAGAGAGTAAAATATGGTCACGAGTCCCTCTGACTCGGTACCAAGAATGACTGTGTTGGCGAGGACCAGCAGCGATTTATCTGACCGACCGAACGACCGAAGTGAGTCAGTCGACAATCAGTCGGAGACGGCGACTAGCAGGCGTTCTTGAGTGGCATTGTTACCAGACGTTATTTAGTAGTGACTACTGACGCCAGAATAACAAACAGAGGATTTTATACATGATGTAGTTGTAATATACTTCTAGACCGGAAAATCGAGATTAGCGGCTGTGGGTATCCATTGCGCTGACCACGCGACACTCTCTATCCGCAAAAGTTGGCACCAACTTCGCCGACAAGCGGCGGTCACTCGGTCGGTACACTTCGCTTGTGGACTAAAGGCCATGGAGGAAAGGAAAAATATTTTCAATATGAAAAAAAAATCGATATTAAACGAGAGTGGAAATCATTGGAATAACGCACAAAATATTACATCTGAACATGGCAAGTCTGGAAAATATACGCAGGCATTAACGAGAGTCACAGAATTAAGAGTTAGTTGAGCAGGGCCTTTAGAACGCATTGTGTAGAGATAAATTCTTGCAAAGCTGGAGGAAAGGACGGGATTATTCTGTTCAACCATGTAGAGGCCGAAGAATGGATCTTAGAGAAATGGGGTGTTGCGACGTGGGGTGGATTCAGCTAAGCTATCATAATGTCCAGTAGAAAGCTCATATGAATATTTGGCATCTACAGAATGTCGAAGTTTCTACACAGATGAGAGTCTCTTAGCTTTTCAGGAAGTACGGCACCATGGAACTGAATATGCAGAAGTTGGTGTGTTTGTTATTATTTAACGACGAACTGAATCTATNAGGTAGCCCTTATTTTCCAATTTCAAGAAATCACGTGACATTTTAATTAAATTTTAAACCTCGCATGATTTCTTGGGTTGACACACAGAAAAGAAACTTTGGATTTTCGTAGGAATAAAACTTTTGCACAGCTGTCTCCACGAGAACTAGCCGTGTGTACATGAACAACTCTGAGAATACGCAAGGTACATTATCATATCAACTCATGTCAGGCTCAAAGAATTACGTTTAGCATAGAGATAATAATTGGGAATGAGCAGTGACCGGTTACAGTACCAAGAATATTGAAACAGTTTGTAACCTCATTTCCTTATTCTGTCTTTCAAGTATCGCGCGAACCGTGTGTCACAATAACTTCTGAACCTGTGGATAGATTCTCATTGAGTATAAACTTCATGACTGGGTGATAATGTAGATACCATAAAGAAAAACACACAAACTTTAATTGACGCAAGTAAAGAGGTTGGTCTAGAAGTAAACACAGAGAAAACTAAGTATATGTTACTGTCTCGTCACCAAAATGCAGGGCAAAATCATGATATAATGATAGGAAACAGATATTTTGAAAATGTGACACAGTTCAGATATTTGGGAACAACGATAACAGATCGAAACCTGATTCAGGAGGAAATGAAGAGGCAACTGAACTGGGGTAATGCTTGCTACCATTCAGTCCAGAACCTTTTGTCTTCTCGTCTGTTGTCCAAAAACATAAAAATTAGAATATACAAAACTATAATTTTGCCTGTGGTTCTGTATGGGTGTGAAACTTGGTCTCTGATATTAAGGGAGGAACATAGACTGAGGGTGTTTGAGAACAGGGTGTTGGGGGAGAATATTTGGACCGAAGAGAGGTGAAGTGACAGGAGGTTGGAGAAAACGCCGTTCTTGTAAACTGGTACAATAATACAACTGATCAGGCAATTCTTACTTATTCCAAATAGAAGTGTGAGTCATTAAGTAACTGAAGGAAATTATTAGTCAAATAAAAATATTTTTTCCCGCACGGATAAAAACAGTTAATACTTTTATTCGCTTTTTATTTGTTAATAAGCAACTTCCTTGCTCTTCTGGCCAGTGTTGTTGCACTGTCTCTAGTTATGTTGCTTACAACGCAGACTCTGTGGACGGGGCTGGTTTCCCCAGACGCCTCACCCCCTCCTGTCGCTCCTGTCGCTGCAAAACTGCCAGCCCGCCAGTCTACCCCGTGGCTTCAACCGAAACACGATACACGTAGTGGATAGGAAGCATTTTGGATAAATCCCAGGTGCTTAGAGGGAACAGACTCCTCGCTACCATCAAAACGGTAAGAAAATTTATGTCTAACTACCTTTAAGTGTAATAGGGCTTGCGGCCTCTAATCTCACGGATGACGCGAGGAAATATCTCGAAACGAAGATCACTTACCTCGTTTACGTTCTTTGTGGTTTCCAGCAGTCTCTGGCAAAATGTGATGAATTCGTAGAAACCATTTACACTCACACCCTCTCAGTTGGTTTATAATCATTCTGAACTTCATCATTCAGCGCTCTGCAAGTTGTATAGTCAACGAAGTATCTTTAACCTAAAAAAAGGGCTAAAATACACTTTGGTCTTGTGTGCCACCTGCTTTAATGTTGAGAAACTGAATTCTCCCAGAGAATTTACATTTTGTAAGAGTTCGCAGAAGCAAACATTCTCGTAAACAGCACTAGCCACAAGAGCTCTATGTAGTGTTCCATCTTCTATGATATAAGGCCGTGCAATCTGTTGAAAGTTAACAGACATTTCAGAGAAACATGTCACCTCTATGTTCAGGGCCGAAAACTGAGTGAAGCAAGAAACCAACGTGAAGCAGGTAGAAACAAAGTCGAAATGTAGCTTGACTTTCAACAGACTGCCCAGCATTGTATCACAGATCTCTTCCACGACCATGACTGTAAGAACCTCAACTGCTACATAGCATTAGCCAGTTGGTTGTTATAATGGGGACGCAAACCCGATACCTGTAAAAGAGTAAATAATTCTTAAATTTTATTTAAATGAACTTCATGTTTCAAATATTTCAACAGAGAAATGTGACACCTACGAAAAGTGTGCTTCCTCACAAAATTAAATTATGGGATGTATGGTTTGTAGGTCACCAGCGTATTGTTATCTGGAATCGCAGCAAGAAAGTGTTTTTACATAATTTAGAAATACCACTCCCCTTCTCCGATTAGAGTTTAGTTTATATTCAAGGCACGCGAATAATTATTCTGTTCCCGTTTAGAAATATTTACACTGCATTCCTTCTTTTGTGCTTTGCTCCAATTAATTCTAAACCAGAGCAACTTCGCTCAAGCGGTGACTTTCCTGACCTACATTCAAGACTGTAAAGGTGAGTTAATATTGTATGTGCGTAATTAATTAAGCGTTTGATCACGAAGACCTATGGGACAATGGAAGTATAACGCCACTATTCTTCGCCCCTACACTAGCTGGAAGTGAGAAGGCTACTCTCCTCCTAGGACGCTTTACCCCCAGAGAAAATGTCTCCAGTACCCATATCCCATCGCTAAACCGACTGAGCTATCCATGCCTTTGCTTTAAAGAGGGTATTTCCCATTACCGACCGGGACATCGATTATATTCACCGAAAACATTAACGTTAAAATATATCAATGTTGCACATTTTTTAATTTCATGGGGCCAAATCGTATTCGTGTTCTCGTGCTTCATAGATTTGTTCTTTTTAGGATAACCGGTATATTAAAGCAACTATATTATTTATAATGCCGCTCACAGTAGGGTGCCTAAGGTACAGTTGTTTGAATTTTGTCAGCCTTGATGTAATATAGATATCACTTCGAGACCTTGAACTTTTGTTCGGCAGTTTATCAACAGTTCGTATAACAAATGAAGTGGAAGGCATTTATCAAGCTAGTGTAGTGAAAAACCTAAATGCCAGAGTTACTCGTTTGAGGTCCGTTCGGGGGCACAGGTTACCCTCACAAGTTTCCCTTGTTTCCCTAAATCCTTCCAGCACACATTTGAATTGTTCCTCGGACTGGCCCTAGCTGCTTCCTTCCATATACTTTGCATCTCATTATGCAAAGCGAAGTTACCCAATCATCAGCATAGGCTGATATACTCTACGTAGTGGTCAATGTTTGTGTTCAGCATAATATCGATTAGCATCCAACGGAGGTTTATGTACGTCAAGACCACTGACGGATGCCACATCGCAATTACAGTTCGTGCTGGCAATCCAGCTAGTTGCTTTTCCAGAAAGTGGTTGGAGATACTTATGATAAATTATCCATCACTATGATCTTAAAACAGGATTTACACTATCGCTTTTCGGTGAAGGCAACCTATTGTCCTCCAGCGCAGAGCAGGCGAGAAAGCTACGAAATTCTGCCAGCTTGCAATGTGCAAGCCGAAAACATCGGCACTATTTTCGAACTGCTCTTACTGTTGTCACTGGAAATTTGAAGCTCAATGTGTCCCTAAATGAGCATTAGAGTTGGCAAGTACAAGCAGTTCTACTCACCATATGCCTCTCCTACTCTTCGTTGGAGTAATACAGTGATTTCTGGCTACTCTTTCAGAGACAGTTTTTATTCCCTTGCGCTGTTGCTGCTCCTCCTAGGGATAATTGTTGTATACGTGAATAAGGATTAACGCTCTTGAAGAACAAACATTTGTTGTTTGAAAGTCCCTGACTGTCTCTCTCCGTAGTTTCAGTTTATAAGTTTAAGTTCTAATTTTAATTGAACCGTGAACGCGCAGTTGGTATAGCGACAAGCTACGGGCTGGATGTACGGAGGTTGATTCCCGGCAGGGAATCTCTACCACACACGGTTCAAACTGGCTCTGGGGACCACCTAGCCTCTAGTTCTGTAGAGACCGGGGTTTCTTTCTCCGGGTCTAAAGCTGCGGAGGCATGAAGCTGAACACGCATTTCCATCTAATGCCGAGGTCAAGAAGGATGGAACTATACGTCCACAGCCTATACGCCTCTATGGCATGTTAATGAATTAAACGCTGCGACGACTTTACCTTCTGCCTTACATAATTATGACTGAGTGCGGGATGGACTGACTCAAATTCAAGAAATTCAATTGGGTGTAACAAAAGATTCCTTACGTTAGAATCAATTCCAAGCCGGAAGAATTGCAATCCAGCTAATTGCCAGACGGATAAGAGTGATCTCGCAGTCTTATGGACGCTTATACACACATTCTGCTCGCAAATTCTAATACCGCTCGGTGCGTCAGTATTTGCCTATGAAGATTATTTGATTTTTGAGAAGTTTACCAAGATTTCGGAGGAATATGCTGCTTGAATCTTCAGGGTATAAACAAACGTCGAGTGCGGATTGAAGTTAACACGGATTTAGGAGAGATAGACCGACGCGACAGAAACCCACAGCAAACCTGGGACCTCATTCTGGCCGTCGCTATCACTGTGTCCACATATCTTTTCAGGGTCGGCTTACTACTTTCTTTCCTACAATTTGAACCGAATACGATAAGACATAGTTATTCCCTCAAACAACCTAGTTCTCTGTTACCCTCGCGGCCTTCTCAAGGTCACGAAGCCGAATATCGACTTTGCAGTTTCATTCATCACTGCGCAGATGCATTCACATGTGCCTTTCAAGTGGAAGTTTCACGTTTGGTGCTTCAAAATATTTCCTCGAAATATGAGATTTGAGGTTTTCATGCCCATGCAGATTCACACCGTAGCTCTATGGATTATGGCACCGTATACAGCAATTTATTTTTTTTATGCTAGTGGGGTGGGACTAAGTCCCTTGTACTGCGGCCACTTCTGGCCTATTGTACTAGCCCCAGATGATAGGTGAGGGTGATTGTGGAGCAATTGGTGGAATGAAGATTGGCAGGGGAAACCGAAGTACTCGGAGAAAACCTGCCCCAGCGTCACTTTGTCCACCACAAATCCCACTTGACCAGACCCGGGATCGAACAAGTGGGTAACAACGTACTGGGGAACGTCAGGTCTCCGCCTGCCTGCCGCGAAGATTAAATTGTTATCTAAATTGACGCCGCGTAGTCTGGAACGTGGATACTAGCATTTCGGGCGATCATAACCTATGTCTCGCATTTGAGGATAAAAGTCTTACTTTGAGGTTTTGGTTTATGACGCCGTGTAGTCTGGCGGGTGTGAGTAGGTTCCACCTAAATACCGAAAGAACATATTTTCAGGGATGTGGATTTATAATTTGTATTTCTGACTGTACGTCGGCCGACATCTCGTGTCTTCGAAACGACTAAGTGAAAACTGAAGACCGAGAAAGTGTGATAAAGTGGTAGTGCTTCTCGCTTCTGTTCAAGAGATGCCTAGTTCGAATCTTGGTCGAGACTCTGATTATCTTGGCAGGTTTCTCGAGGCTTTCGTTAGTTCATCCACAAAAATGGCAGGATAACGTCTAATACAGGGTGGGGCATATAAACCTTTCCGATTTCAAAAATGCATGGAATAGAAATAAAGAAAGATGCAGGCAAAATTATTTTATTATTTGAAAGGCGATAGAATGCAGTTTTATTTTAATGTGGTTTAAAAATAATATCTTCCAAATGGCCACCTCCATTTTCCATAAACCAACGGAGACTGTTTCGGAAGTTTTCCATGACTCTACGAGTCATATTCCGTGGAATAGCGTTGATATCTTCGGTGATGGCAGCCTTCAGTTCATCAATAGTTCGGGAACGATGTGTGAACACCTTTGCCTTGGGGTAGCCCCACAGAAAAGAATCGCATGGTGTTAGATCAGGCGATGTGGGGGGGCCAACCGATGTCACCCCGCAAAGACACAAGATGACCAGGAAACATTTGTCTTAGAATCTCCATTGAACGACGCGATGTGTGGGCCGTAGAACCATTTTGTTGGAACCAAATATATTCCAGGTCATGATCTTGCAATAATTCATCCAAATTCTGTAGAAGAAAATTTTCAAGCATGTAACAATATCGAGCAGAAGTCACTGTAACGGCTTCACCATCTTCTTCGAAGAAGTAGGGCCCCCAGACACCACAATTGGCCTGAAGATTTACTTCTTAATGCAGAAGATGTCACTTTAAAATTTGATGCCCAATTTCTAATTGTTGTTTCAGTGGGAATGGGATCACGCAGACCGAGTGAGTGCGAAAGGCTCGCTGGGTTTTGATCACAGAACCGCCGTTTTTAATAAACTCTTCAAGCACGAACACACGATGTTCTTCTGACCAAGCCATTGTGTGTACTGAAAACTGCATGTTATAACGCGTCTAACGATACCATCTCCACCACTCTACCACCTCCCTAGCCTCAACAATGAC